ACCAGTGTGCTTATATACCAGCTGACACCGTTATTAAGTCATCTAAACATAAGTAAGCAACCAGTGTGCTTATATACCAGCTGACACCGTTATTAAGTCATCTAAACATAAGTAAGCCATCAGTGTGCTTATATACCAGCTGACACCGTTATTAAGTCATCTAAACATAAGTAAGCAACCAGTGTGCTTATATACCAGCTGACACCGTTATTAAGTCATCTAAACATAAGTAAGCCATCAGTGTGCTTATATACCAGCTGACACCGTTATTAAGTCATCTAAACATAAGTAAGCAACCAGTGTGCTTATATACCAGCTGACACCGTTATTAGGTCATCTAAACATAAGTAAGCCATCAGTGTGCTTATATACCAGCTGACACCGTTATTAAGTCATCTAAACATAAGTAAGCCATCAGTGTGCTTATATACCAGCTGACACCGTTATTAAGTCATCTAAACATAAGTAAGCCATCAGTGTGCTTATATACCAGCTGACACCGTTATTAAGTCATCTAAACATAAGTAAGCCATCAGTGTGCTTATATACCAGCTGACACCGTTATTAAGTCATCTAAACATAAGTAAGCCATCAGTGTGCTTATATACCAGCTGACACCGTTATTAAGTCATCTAAACATAAGTAAGCCATCAGTGTGCTTATATACCAGCTGACACCGTTACTAAGTCATCTAAACATAAGTAAGCCATCAGTGTGCTTATATACCAGCTGACACCGTTATTAAGTCATCTAAACATAAGTAAGCCATCAGTGTGCTTATATACCAGCTGACACCGTTATTAAGTCATCTAAACATAAGTAAGCCACTAGTGTGCTTATATACCATCTGACACCGTTATTAAGTCATCTAAACATAAGTAAGCCACCAGTGTGCTTATATACCAGCTGACACCGTTATTAAGTCATCTAAACATAAGTAAGCCACCAGTGTGCTTATATACCAGCTGACACCGTTATTAAGTCATCTAAACATAAGTAAGCCACCAGTGTGCTTATATACCAACTGACACCGTTATTAAGTCATCTAAACATAAGTAAGCCACCAGTGTGCTTATATACCAGCTGACACCGTTATTAAGTCATCTAAACATAAGTAAGCCACCAGTGTGCTTATATACCAGCTGACACCGTTATTAAGTCATCTAAACATAAGTAAGCCACCAGTATGCTTACATACCATCTGACACCGTTATTAAGTCATCTAAACATAAGTAAGCCACCAGTGTGCTTATATACCAGCTGACACCGTTATTAAGTCATCTAAACATAAGTAAGCCACCAGTGTGCTTATATACCAGCTGACACCGTTATTAAGTCATCTAAACATAAGTAAGCCACCAGTGTGTTTATATACCAGCTGACACCGTTATTAAGTCATCTAAACATAAGTAAGCCACCAGTGTGCTTATATACCAACTAACACCGTTATTAAGTCATCTAAACATAAGTAAGCCACCAGTGTGCTTATATACCAGCTGACACCGTTATTAAGTCATCTAAACATAAGTAAGCCACCAGTGTGCTTATATACCAGCTGACACCGTTATTAAGTCATCTAAACATAAGTAAGCCACCAGTGTGCTTATATACCAGCTGACACCGTTATTAAGTCATCTAAACATAAGTAAGCAACCAGTGTGCTTATATACCAGCTGACACCGTTATTAAGTCATCTAAACATAAGTAAGCAACCAGTGTGCTTATATACCAGCTGACACCGTTATTAAGTCATCTAAACATAAGTAAGCAACCAGTGTGCTTATATACCAACTGACACCGTTATTAAGTCATCTAAACATAAGTAAGCCACCAGTGTGCTTATATACCAGCTGACACCGTTATTAAGTCATCTAAACATAAGTAAGCCACCAGTGTGCTTATATACCAGCTGACACCGTTATTAAGTCATCTAAACATAAGTAAGCAACCAGTGTGCTTATATACCAGCTGACACCGTTATTAAGTCATCTAAACATAAGTAAGCCACCAGTGTGCTTATATACCAGCTGACACCGTTATTAAGTCATCTAAACATAAGTAAGCCAACAGTGTGCTTATATACCAACTGACACCGTTATTAAGTCATCTAAACATAAGTAAGCCACCAGTGTGCTTATATACCAGCTGACACCGTTACTAAGTCATCTAAACATAAGTAAGCCACCAGTGTGCTTATATACCAGCTGACACCGTTATTAAGTCATCTAAACATAAGTAAGCCACCAGTGTGCTTATATACCAGCTGACACCGTTATTAAGTCATCTAAACATAAGTAAGCCACCAGTGTGCTTATATACCAACTGACACCGTTATTAAGTCATCTAAACATAAGTAAGCCACCAGTGTGCTTATATACCAACTGACACCGTTATTAAGTCATCTAAACATAAGTAAGCCACCAGTGTGCTTATATACCAACTGACACCGTTATTAAGTCATCTAAACATAAGTAAGCCACCAGTGTGCTTATATACCAACTGACACCGTTATTAAGTCATCTAAACATAAGTAAGCCATCAGTGTGCTTATATACCAACTGACACCGTTATTAAGTCATCTAAACATAAGTAAGCCACCAGTGTGCTTATATACCAACTGACACCGTTATTAAGTCATCTAAACAAAAGTATGAGCGCCAAGAAATAGATTATAAACAGCTCATGCATACCAACACTGCGCTAACAGTACTAGACTTGGGCATTATCAAAGGCTAACCTACGTACAAATTAACACCTGTGAAATGAGAGGCCTAAGAAAAGTCACCATCTCAACCATCCGAGACAAAGTTAGAAACGACATTAGTAAGCAGACTGTACGAACAACGCCATGCAGCAAATTCGTCGAGAAACAGAAGATCCGATGGTTTGGTTATCTGGTAATAATGCAATCAGAATAACTACCAAAGCATAAAAAGATCTGAAGTGAAAGCAAGAGGCCGCCCTATGAGTATATGCAGTGATGACATTAAAGAGCTTCTAAATTGACACGGAATGGCAAAAAGTCATTGCTGCCCATCAAGCAATGGACACAAATGTCCCCCCCCGCCCCTCCCACAACGTTACGGCAGAAGTGGGAATCGATGATGATGATGATGATTTTGTTCCAACCTCTGTAAGGAATCTTGCGTCAGATGTTAAGATTGTTCCAAGAAAGTTGTACGGATTCACTTGTTTAAGAGTTTGTTTTCCATTTGCGTGTGTATTTCACACTTTGGTATTTCTTTTTTTCTTGGTGACGACCGTAATTTCTGTTTTCTTGCATTGTAATTATAAGCCAAGTTGCTAACTGTTCTATTAATCCATTCGTGAAACTATACTTTCGTGATCCCCAAATACTAAATGGTGATTACTTTTATAAACTTCGGAGGGGGAGAAAGAAAGCATGTCGTAAGGGGCAAGTAATTATCGGTGTTTCCTTCGAAGTCGGCCTGCATCAGCCTCAGAGGTGGGGAACCAACAATCTGCATACAAATAAGCCAGATCTCTCAAATGGATGTGTCTGCACAACTCAAATTCTAGAAGAAGACCAAAGCCAAGAAGTGGACGAACAGCTAGAATTTACACAGAGTCTACAGTCGGTAAACGCCAAATCTCTATCTATCTATATACTTTTACCCCACCAGGACACCACATAAGCGATAAACATCCGATGACACAAAGTGCCACCATGTGGATGAGGATCACCCGTGGAGAGGTCCCAGAAACCGCGTTCAGCCACTAGACCATATTTATGGCCGGGCTATATTGTGGCCCCTGGCAAGAGCCAGAGTAGGGCTTCAAAAAACAAAAAATTGCATCTCACAAGGAGACGACTATTTATTTAAACATCAAAAAGAAAAGACCAGCGATCAATGGTGGACACCTTCACAAGCTATCGTAATCACAAACATGTCGGGGGGTCGAACGTAAACGGCGATCTAGACAAACAAACAATTTCAAAGGTAATAAATGTGTATTAAAAAAGGGCCATCTATTGTGCCATGTTATGAGAAGATGTCGACCAAGACAAGGCCAGATATGGTGAAACGATAAGACAAGATAAGATGAGGTGATGCAAGGGAAATTAGAATATATTAACAAGACAAGAAAAGGTAATATTGTAAAGGTATATGATAAAACAAGAAAATTAGGGTGAAAACAACCAGAATATAATAAGATAGGAGAAGATGGGATTATACAAAAATCTCATTCTTTTTTCTTCTTCTTCTTCTTCTTCTTCTGCATCCAGATATGTAACTGCGCTGTGACCGTTTACAGCATGGCTGCGAAATTTGCGCCTTTCGGGGGACACATCTTACTTCTGCAGACATTTGTTGACCGGGTTAGCTTTCCCGCATAAACAAATACAATAAGATTAGACAAGAAAATGTTAAACTACAAACATTACTACGTTTAGAAACGACAAGATAAGATTTTTAAAAAAAAAAAAGGATAGAATATGATAAAGCAAAATATTTTTCGATGATACAGCATATACTATGATACTTTAGATAAGGTGGATGGTACAAGACATAATGGGATAAGACAAGATGAAGTTAGATGATACTGGATAGAAAAAGATAAGATTAATTGATACAAAATAAAATAAGGTAGTGTATGGTGACATGATAATAAGATACGTTAGGATAGAAGAAGATACATTACTCTTTTCCGCATCTTCATGCGTACTGGGCTTAGAGTGCTCGACCTAAATTGTATAGACCAATCAGCACTCGGTGGCGGATGGGGTCAACATCACGCCGGCAACCTTTACTTCCCATGACTTTACCAAGGTACCCATTCAAAGCTGGGTCAACCTGGAAGCTACAAGAATCACGCTACTTTTGGATTTCAGTTCACGACAGTCGGATCCACATGTGAGAGTCTAACCTAAGAAAAGATAGGACAAAAAAAATAAAAAATAAAGAGTGACATCAAGCCATATCACATAACCACAAAGGCCAAACATGAAGAGTGACACAAGGTGACCTTTGACCTACCAGTGGCAGAGTTGCTGGTTCTTCTTAGTTTCTCCATATCTGCTCTCAGCAACAGATCCCCCTCGCTCAGCTTCATCGAGATGTTCCTAATGGAATGCGAGTAGGTGAGAAGCGTCTGCTTCGCCTTGTCCAGCTTTAATGTAGCGTTCCATACAACGTCAGAGAAGGATCCGACATGCTTGGACGCCATGTCTTGTCGGTCCCTTTGATAAGTGCCTTGTTCTCCGCCACTTGAGGCACCAGGTTTGTTAGAAGAGCTACCCTCCGTTGGTTGTTTGGCTCCAGTTGATTGGCTGTCGGTGCCTGATCCTCCACCCATCATTGAATTGGCCAGGGGGTTCTCTGCGAAGCGGTTCATCATGCTTTCGTCAGCCTGAAGCAGCGCCTTCTCCGCGTACACGTTCACCACAGATGGTGACCCTTGACATGTGATCTTCACCGTGTTTTTGGTGAGGTCCAGGTCGTATTCGCAGGGTTCGGTGTTGGTGGACTGACTGGCAGCAAGCACACAGAAGATGAGAATACAGATGACAGCAATGGAAGAAGTTGGCAATGTTAACGGATTCATGTTTATTGTGCCTTCGGTTTAAGGACGACACTTTCTGCTACATGTGGTAAGGTCACGTGGTGAGGTCACGTGGGGTGTTCTGTCCGCTTCATGGCGCTGCAGAGATTTCTGTTTCCGGTTGGCTAATCCAAGATGGATCTTGGACTTCGGTTGCTGTGTTTACCTGTAAGGAGAAACAAGATATGCAGTTAATATTTAGTTACAATACATTGTTGTCCTCTACTGCCGTTCGATGATGTTATCAATACTGTCAGCTAGGAGCAGCTAGATATATTGTGATGGTGCGGTAGGCGCAGTATGTTTAAGTGAGCAATAATAAGAATAAAAATTATTATTATGTGCTGAAAGACAAACAATAAATAATTTACTTCAAGTCTGAGGTTTGAACAACGGATCAACATCATGGCACACAGGTAGTAACCAACAAGTCCTCCGTTCTTCTTCTAACTCAAGTCTGAGTTCGAAGAAGGTCAACACAGTGCACAGGCTCTGTAGCACCGGCGAGAATTCTGAAATATTTGGGTAGATTTTTAACTCCAAATCTTCCCCGGGCAGCGCCTTTAGGCTACTCTATTCGATTTCCAACTGTCAAACGATTTGTTATGTGTGCAACAATGCACACGGGCGTCCGATCTCACTACCCAGAGACCAGAGGGAATTACTAGAAGTCCTAGTCCACGTGAAAAAATCCCATCCCTTACTGGGGATTGAACCCGGAACCTCTAGCAGTCGAGGCAGACACCATGCCTCGAGACCACGCAGCCCACTTAAAATTAATTTACTTCAAATAATATGAAATGTATACTAGAGGCTCCCTGTGGATTCCGGGTCCGCGTTACGGGGAAATCAAGAATAGACCTACTGCCTTCTAAACAAGCATGTCGTAGGAGTAAAAAGAAATTAGAAGCTTTTTCGAAGTCAGAGTGCATCTGCCCGAGCGGCAAGGAACAACCACAAATCATACATTAGCCAGTAAAACGGATGTACGCGCAAAACTCATGCAAGGGCACAAAGCCAAACTCCAAAATGGACGAACAGCCAGGAGTTTTCACCATAGCTTACAGCCGGTGAACAAAGAAGAATTATGACGAAGTTACTTTCGTGTCCTTTACAAGAGATCGCAGAACCAAACCTAGCGTTGATAATGATGATGATGATAGTTTTGGTGGTGGTGGTGGTGGTAGCAGTAAAAGTGATTGACAGCTATGGTTACAACACCAGGGACGATCTCTATCACTACTTCCTATACATCTTTGATCAGCTATCAATACATTTATCATCATTAAGTGCCTTTGCCAGCTGGCATAGGCGTTCATGCTTCTCCACTGATCTCGGTCTTTGCTGTTCTAGATCAAGTCCGCTGATGATCTTCCACTATACTACTATCTGAAGCCATCCACCTTCATTTCTTTTGGTCTGCCTCTACTTCTTCTACCAGTGATCTTTCCAGTCATCACCATATTTCCCAGTTCTCATTTTCTCATTATATGACCAAGGAACTTTGTATCAACACAATACCAGCCTAAAATTGGCACCAGGTAAAGTCGTGAGAAATAAAGGCGGCTGGCGTCATACTGACCACAACACCCATCGAGTGTCGACTGATCTAACAAATATGTGAGTCCAGCATCGTGTGCCCGTTTCGCCACAGAGGTAAAAAGGGACTTTACCATTGGCTGGTCATGCCGTTGTCGGTAGGCTCGCTCATGATCATCATCTTGTAGCAGGTCCTTTGCAGAACGTCGCTCTCATCACAATATGCCTGAAAGACAGACACTCGGTCTCTCGCCAGTTCTCTCGCCTTACGCACTTTCCCATTCAAGGAGTCACTTATATCCTGTGCCCATCTTCGTGTCGGTCGGCCCCTGCCCCCTCCTTCCTGGTACCATGCCTTCTGCTATAATTTTTTTCCAATCCGTCGTGGCGCTTGATATGACCAAAATATTTCAGCTTTCGAGAAAGGATGCTGTTTATTAATCAATCTTCCTTGATATTCAGATCTTTTAAGGTGTCAATATTTCTCATCTTCTTTGTCAAAGATATTCTGAGAATCTTTTTATAGCATTTCAGCTCAAAAGCCCCTATTCTATTTCTTAAGGACTGAGAGATAGTCCACGACTCACATACGTATGTAACCACAGGGAAGAGGCATGCTCTCAAAATTCTAATTTTGATCTCCTTGCTGGTGATTTTAACCATAGACTTTTAAGGCTGTTCAATTTTTGCATTGCTATGGCCATCCTCCTTTTAATTTCTGTCGAACAGTCTCCAGTGGTGTTTATTATAGAGCCTAGATATTCAAAGTTTGTGACATTTTTAATTTCTTCATCATTTATTGTTATTTTTGGGTGACAGCCAGTGTTATCTGTGGACATTATTTAAACTAGGCTCGCTAGTTAGTTGCATATCCTTTACGGACGTTACCAACCCCAGCTGCTGTAGTTTATCTAAGCAAATTTCACGTTTAGTAGTTTGCCATTGCATTTTGAACGGCTCGTGGAATAATCAATTATTTACTTCTCAAGACACACTCGTGGTCGGTTGTATGGGTTCTACATGCTGATTTGGAACAGAGCAGTTGGTCCCACGCCAAATATTCCTACTGACCTCTTACGGCTTGCTTAAAATGTGTCGATACAGTTTGTGTCATCTCTACCTCCTCTACCTATTTAAAAAAAAAAAAAAAAAAAAAAGCACGGCTGCTCACAAGTAGATTGTGACAGTCGTCTTGATGGGAGCCTGGATTGTGAGCCATTGTGCTCAATCTGCAGAACTGTTTGCTTCGCGGTGTTGTGACTGAGGACTGCCTCGGTGCTCGCACAGATGATCAGTGCAACGGCCAGTGGACAACCAGCTAAAGACAGGAACCAGGACCCTTAAAACCCACTTCAAACTTAGGCAACAAAAGAACAATCTCAGGTGTAATTGCTCACCACAAAGGAACAGAACTAAATAAGAAAGCAAAGGAACCGTCCTTGATAAAAGCAGGCCTTCGGGCGGCTAAAAAAGGACTAAGTTTGGAATTTTTGTTTGATTAATACGATTCGATACGATTGTGTTATCTCCAAGATATAGTTGTACAGAGGTGGTAAAATTGTAATAGCCGTAGCAATACAAGTGTTACACAGTATTTGAAAGTATATGGTGAGCACCGACAAGGAAATCAAAGTCAAAAAATTGAAAGCAGGCAACTTTCCTGTAGCAACATACGTATGCGAGTCATGGACTATCTCGCAGTCGTTAAGGAAGAAAAAAAGGGGCTTTTGAGCTGAAGTGCTATAGAAACATTTTTATAATACCGTGGACAAAACAACAAGAAAAAGAAATATTGACATACTAAAAGATTTGAAAATCAAGGAAAATTGTCTAGTAAACATGGTCTTGTCTCGGAAACTGAAATATTTTGGCCATATTAAGCGCCACAGCCGTAATTGGGAAAAAGATAATAGCAGAAGGCATGGTAGCAGAAGAGAGAGGAAGCGGCCGACCAGAATGAAGACGGGCAGAGGATATAAATGACACACTGGGTGGAAGGTACACAAGACGGGAGAGTCGGCGAGAGACCGAGTTTCTTTCAGGCAGACCGTGATGAGAGCGACGTTTTACAAAGGGCCTGCTACATGATGATGATGACTGGAATGAATGTGCATAAACAAGCGAGGTGCTGTGAATTCAGTACACAAACAAACAAGTGTGAACTTTAATGACACAGACGTCGTGTGAAAACTGTTATCTAGAACATACGTCAAGAATTTCTAGTTATGTTTCTATGTCGGTCTACAATTAGCACTCTAATTCTCTCTCTATCTCTCTCTCTCTCTCTCTCTCTCTCTCTCTCTATCTATCTCTCTCTCTCTCTCTCTCTCTCTCTCTCTCTCTAGTATCACTTTCTCTCCTTCCCATTCTGCATCTAAGTATATCTCTCTCATCTCAATTTGTCTATATGTTTATCTCTATGTCTGTCGTTATGTCTGTCTCTATGTCTGTCTCTATGTCTGTCGTTATGTCTGTCTCTATGTCTGTCTCTATGTCTGTCTCTATGTCTGTCTCTATGTCTGTCTCTATGTCTGTCGTTATGTCTGTCTCTATGTCTGTCTCTATGTCTGTCGTTATGTCTGTCTCTATGTCTGTCTCTATGTCTGTCGTTATGTCTGTCTCTATGTCTGTCTCTATGTTTGCCTCTATGCCTGTCTCTATGCATGCCTCTATGTCTGCCTCTATGTCTGTCTCTATGTATGCCTCTATGTCTGTCTTTACATCAGTCGAATTCTTCCTCTCTCCGCATCTTATCAAGTCTTCTACAATGTCTGTCTTTCTATCTCACGCTGTTTCTACATCTGTATTTTCCAAAAGAAAAAAAACACACACACACAAATTTAAAAAAAATACACATAAATTGTGTAGAATAACCATCCTATTTGTAGTAAAAATAAATATGAAATAAATAACAGATACCAGCTTTAGAGAGACCAACAAAAATTGCATAACAAAATGTTGAAAGAAGACCCGAAAGATTTTTTTCACCCGAAACCTTAAAACGGAAGACAGACAAATGATTAATGGGTTTTACAAACTAGAAAGCAAGGTTTCACGCAGACACTTCTTAACCTCACCCAGTTTGAAACAAAACATAGACAAATGTGATTTCCAAGGAAAGTACAAGTCTATTTTGGTTGGCCTAACTTTTCACTGAGATCTGGCGTGTCTTGTCATTGTTTTTTGTCTGTTTGCCTGTTTGGCTTGTCTAAATTTCCACTGTTTGATGTAGCATGCAGACGCAGTTTTAGTATTGTGTAAGTGCTGCGGCTGGCTTCTTGTAATGTCCTGGCCGTGGCGATTATGACTCTTCGAAACTGGGTTTAGGAAGCTCTTTAGAATTTAGATGATCACTAGATGTAGCTGTGTTGTTTACAACTGGGTCCCTGGGTTATCTGCGTGGTCTCGAGGCATGGAGTCCACCACGAGTGCTAGAGGTCCCAGGTTCAAACCCTGGTGAAGGC